CCCCAAAACCCCAAAACCCCAAAACCCCAAAACCCCAGAGTTAAGACTCTTTATAGAATAATAATTAGGTAAAAATGTATAGTGATGACGAAAAGGAAAATGAGTTAAAGACTTTCATCCTGTTCTTCTCTTTCCACGCCATGCTTTTATTTGGTGCTATACTTCTATGGAATGGAGTGTGGCTTAAGCCATATGGATATGACATTTATGTACCTAAGAAGAAAGGGAGAAGAACCCCTTCTGCCCTTGGGAAAATTCAAACGATTACTGATATTGTGAAGGAAAAGCTCTTACTCAGATATTGGAGATATGTCTTCAGTAAGCTTTGGAAATTTGACAGAAAGTTCTGGCAAGGTATCAGCCCTGATGCTTACCTCTATTTACTCCTACAAAAAGCATTGATAAGGTTAAGCTGAATCATGTAAGATTTTGTGAGACTAATTTGTATAGATTCATTGTGTCTCTGTCCCTTTCAATTTTCTTCAACTATGGAGAAAACGTCTGGTCACTTTTGAAAAACTGGAGCACAGCGAAACCTCTAATCTTCGATATATTCTTTGGTAGCAATGTGCAACTCTCCACAATGAGCTCAGTCTACTTACAGACAGCTATGTGCATCATAGTCTCATTAGCTACGATATTGACTGTTTTGAGCTTAATGAGTAGCCTAAAAAGCTTGCATGCTAAAACGTTGCCCTACAAGTCTGAGTACAACTGTGAGTGGTTGAATTCTCACTCGCTGTATTTCACAGGACTCCTGAAGCATGACGGCCATGGGAAGCTCTTCGAGGCCATTATTAATGATTTTATCGAACCTTATGGCGGCCGTATAATCACTGCTGAGAACACTATGAAACAATCCAAGGATTTCAACATCATCAATCCTCGCAGAGAGGAACACAAAGGAATATTCATGGTTAAAAATTACAGAAAATTTACTAAATATCTAGATAAGAAAGAGAACATCAAAGATTTGCTTGAGTTCACTGAAGAAAAAGAACCTCTGATCAGGAGACTCTGTGTTAGGAAGAAGAAAAGAACGAAGGAATACCTACTTTCGAAGATGAATGATTACGACATGAAGATAAATACAGCGCTAGATGATGGGTTCAAGTCTGCTTGCTCTGTCTATGCTGTCTTTGATTCATACACTAGCATGTTACAATGCCTTCAAATATTTAATACTTGTGAAGTACTGTCACTTGATTGCTCTAAGATCTGCAAAAGGGCTTCTACCGAGAAGATTATGAAGTCAATAAATAGTATGCAGGAAGAGCAAGAGTATCTTATTCAGGAATATGAGAAAGATGGGATTTATCTGAACGCTTCCTTGCCTACAGATCCTGTGGACATCGTCTGGTTTAACAGAGGTTCGAACCGCCATCTATTCTTTTTAAAATAAATACCTCTGGAACCTTTTAGGGCTGCTGTTGATTGTGTTTATATCAACTCCAGCCGTGTTATTTCAGACTTTGAAGACTATAGGTGAAGATAACTTGAATCTCGAGATTTTGGACTATATCCCATTCGTACAAAGCTATTCGAGCTATATTCCAACTATAATTATTCTGTGTATAAATCTGTTGTTGTTGATAATGATTGATCAAATAGCTGTCTCAGAAGGGCATGCATTCCACAACTCTTACCAAAAATCTATTTTTAACAAGGCAGTAGTATATCTACATTTGAACATAGTGTTGTTTCCATTTCTAGGATTGCAGGAGACACCTGTTTTCAAGCTTCTTAACTTTGAATCTACACACAAGGACTACATCAGAGATTTCTCTATGCTGGATTCTACTCCTTTCTTTTCAAAACTGATTCTACAGTATGGAGTTTTTGGAGGGATATTTTATCTTCTAAGAATGGGTGAAGTCATTGTAATGAACTTTTCACCTGCTTTTGCACATTACGTTCGAACCAAGTTCACCACGACACAGGAATGGAGACGTAAACCTGAGTATGTCTTCCAGTACGGATATTTCTACAGTCAGATGGTGACTATTTTTACCATAGTTATCCTATTCTCTTCAACAGCTCCGTTGATAGCAGCCTTAGGTGCTATTTATTATGTCATCAGGAACTGAATCGATGGGCACTTATTGATTAGTGTCCATAAGAAGGAAATAGACAGCGGAATTGAGCTATTTAACAGCATAATTCCATGCTTATTGTTCTCCCTGATATGCTACCAGGCTTTCATGTTGATTTACTTTTACCTGAATGCTCAGATTGTGCCAACCTACATTATCTCTATCATGGTGTTTTTGACATTGATATTTTTGTTTGTGGTGAGAAGTCAGAGAGCGACCATCCATCTCTTAAAACTTTATGCTAAAAGAGAGGATGAACTTGGAGATCACGCTATTAACCATTTCAGCACGAATCTAAACCAGGGTTTAGAAGAAAACTGCAGATGTAAGGAGGCTTGTATCATTTTTAGCAAAATACTTCATCATTGGATCATCCAATTCTACAATAGAAGTTGAAGAGTGGGAAAAATGGGCGGATAAATTCTATAATCCTGCTCTAGTGAAGTGAGAGATTGATCATCCCAATGTCGGTATCCACAGTAAGGTATTACTCACACTGGATTCTTTACTATTTGATTTATAGCCTCCTTCTGAGAAGATTTTAATTCAAGTTGCCACACCTATCAACCTCCAGTCCTCGGAATCGATGGAAGAAGAGAAGGAATCAAAAAGAGAGTTTGACTTTAATGACGAGAATGACATTGAGCTACAAGATTTTATCAATAAGAACCATAATATGGGGAAGACTAAGAGAGCGCCTCCTAATGAGAAGAAAACATATTTCTTGTAATGTGTTTGTTTATGATTTTAACCAAGAGTTGGGGTTTTGGGGTTTTGGGGTTTTGGGGG